AAGTTTACTCAAGATTTAGGATATTTAATTTAATTATAGAAATGTTAGGTTTCAGCATAGCTACCAGCATCTGAAGAAAGCTTAACATTTTGAGGCTAGGGTTTATTCATTACAAGCTAGGGTTTATTACTAGGAAATAGAAGAAAGAAGAGGGAATGCATGAATCATTGCACATTTTAATTTGGGCAAACTTCACAAGGACTTTATGAAAACTCTTGAGCACATGAAATGCATATGTGTGCTTTTAATTCTTTTTCCTTTTCCAGGTGGTTGTGCAAGTCAACGACATACCAGCTCATTGCTCAGGGTCCTGTTCTTTTCAATACCTTGAAGGGTCAACTCCCCAGGTCCATTCTGTGTGGTATTCCCTTGGTATGATTTGTGACTTGGCATTAAGATGATCATGAACTTTAGATCAAGAGTGATTGTTAGAGGCCACGTAGCTGGTAGTGAGAGGACAGGAGGTGCATCATTTCACAGGGTGGATGTTGAGTGACACAGCGGAAAATGTACTTTTTGGCCAATCTAAATGATATGGTGAGGTCTGAAATGGAGACAAGTAGAATTTTGATGACTTTAAATGTTCTTTTCTCTTTGTCTCTTATTTTAGAATGTTGTTTATTTTGATTTTTTCCTCATTTGTATTGACTAGTGATCTCTTATTACTAGTTTGAGAAAACTTAAGATGGGGCTCCTTGCTACAATAATAAATGCAGCTGTCTGATATTTGAACCAGCAATCAGCTCTTTGAATTTTGGGAGGGGAAGGTGAGAGGGAATGAACATTTAATGTTAGAGAGAGCCCTTAACTGGCGTGATACCACTGAGCGATGACTTTGTTCTTCCAATTTTTTCCTCCTTAAAGATGGTGACGTCAATCTGCTGGTTTATATTATTGGAACTGGTTTCTCTGGTGACTCCCAGGCCTTGGAGATTGCAGTGAACAAAACGAGCTGCAAAGTTATTTTCTCAAATCAAACGAAAGTGGTCTGCCAGACAGACCCGCTACCC